TTACGCAAAACGAGGCACTTATATTATTTTTTTTACTAATTTCGTGCTCAATTCGGACCTTTTATGCTTAAATTGGCCCCTAACACCTTAATTGAATATTTTTCGACACGCAAACCAATGAAAAAGTTGAATTGAGTTGCAATTTACAATTTATAATAACTTTTGGGCTGCAATTTGCAATTTTTTAATTTAAATAGCTGCAATTTACAACATATAAATTTTAAATGGCTGCGATTGACTAATTTTCCAACTAAGAACTTAAATCCATCACATCATCAAGAATGTTATCTAAATCAATGAAATATGTTAGAGGCCTTTTCGAGACGATCCCTGACGACCTTGCAATCGAACTCAATTACCACATTCGTGAGACTTTTTATTTTATTTTATTTTCTTTTAAAAAAATCTAATTTTTTTTTTTGAAAATGTTATGAAGAACTATTCAAAGATACACTATTTTGTTAACAAATACTTGTTAATATATATATATATATATATATATATATATATATATATATATTTGTGAAGAACTACCCATAAGATGACAAACTTTTGTAATTTGTCTAGCATTACCCATTAACGGGTTCCATCTAATTGTGTTGTTTGTGGGGCCCCACTCCTACGATTTCTCTCCCAATTAACTCACCAATAATCCTAAAGTCATCCAAAAATCCAAGGAAAAACATTTTGATCAATTCAACTTAATTTCTTACTAAAGTAGGTAATATTTAAGCTATTGTTTTAATTTTTGGTCTCTTTGATTGGTTTAGGGGTTTTAACTTACTTCAACTAACATAATTAGAGATTCAATTTAGGGTTTAGGGTTTCAATTCAATTTGGAGATATTAATTTCTAGGGCTTAGGGTTTGAATTGAATCAGGGGTTTTGCTTGTTTAAGGTTATTAGAGTTTGAATTCAATTGCATTTTAATTAATAAATAGCTACTTCTATTTCATATTTATTGGAAGGATGTATAATTCTTCATACCACTCTGCTTTGCAATATCAGAGCAACACTCTACAACAATTTTTGTAGGAAAGAGAGAGATACATATGAGTGGAAAGAAAATGGGTTTTAAGCCTTGTCAATTTATTAAAAAGTGATGAGGAACACAAAGATTCGCTTAAGCTAGAGATTAAAATGGTGAAAGGTGCAAGGACTAAAAAGAGAAGTAAAAATGGAGGAGGAGAGAGTATGTACTTGGGGGTTCGGGAGGGAGTTAATTAGGGGGGATCATATGAGTGGGCTCCACAAATAGCACAATAGGAAGGAATTCATTAATAGGTAGTGCTAGACAAATGTTTGACATCTTATAGGTAGTTTATTCACAAATTAAAAAAAAATATGTAGTTATTCACAAAATAGCCTATCTTTAGGGTACTTCTTCACAAAATTTCTTTTTTTTAAAAAAAAAAAAGATGAAATAGTTTATGCAAAAGTATACTATTCCCTCAATTCACTAACTTAGACGGAGTATATATGCAGCAAACATCATGGATTCAGTTTGTGTTATAGGGGTTACTCTATTACAGTTAGAGGGGTAAGTTAGTGATACTGGGGTACAGTTAGAGGGGTAAGTTAGTGATACTAGGGTAACTCAATACAGAGTAAGTTTAATAAGGATTATTGTATAAGTATAATAAGGGATACTATGTCAATATTATATGAATTACCAGAAAGAAAACACACTATTTTTTTTTAAATTGCAATCCTTTTATAATAAACCTTTTTTTAATTGAAAATACTACTCACTATTTAATTGTATCTTTTTCCTCTAATAGTCCTCACTTGTTTCGGGGTTTTTGTCCCTCGGGAGAGTTACAACACTGAAACTGGATTCAACTGAGGACGCTTGTACCTGCAAAGCAAATGGACCTCCGGATGGTTGGGGGTCCGCCTCCGAAGATTAAGTCAGCAAACGTTCGGAAATAAAACGTGCGGAAGTAAAGTTATCTGCTTGGATTCCAAGCTCAGGTAAAGTGAGATAAGTGACGTATTGTCTCGTATTGCGTGTAAAAAATTCTCCCTCTGTCATAAATGACATAATGTCCCTATTTATAGGGTCCTTTTGAAAAGTGTGCCTTCCTAGGATCTGGTGACCTAGTAATTAGGTCACGCCGTTTTGCGGCGCCTCGGGATTTGGGCCTTAGAAGGCCGCCATCCCAGGGCCAATGCTTGAGTGACACGTGTCACTGTGCCCAAAGGATTTTGAAGCACTTTTTGTGTGACACGTGTCGCCACCTAAATGGTCCCTGCTGGACCTTCAGTCCACGTAGGACGGAGAAGAGTCCACCCTCCACGTGTCATCATTCATAGGTCCAAATGGCACCTATACGGAGGACACGTGGCACTTTATGATTGGGCCACCTGGCCGGGTATAAAATACCCAAATCATCACTCATACCACATTTGTACTTTTTTATACTACCTCCCGTTTTTATTTAGTTGATACGATTTGACTTTAGCACTATTCACACACCTCCCTTTGACCGTGTTTTGTGCTTTATACGTAATGAAAAATATAGTCATGTGGAATCTTGTTAGATTCGTCATGTTATATACTTTCAAAATATCAACTTTTCATAAATTTTGCTTATCGATAATTAAAGATATTAATGATTGAATAAGTGCATTGACAAACGTGACTAAAGAAACGTGTCAATTAAAAAGAAACGGGGGAAGTACTTCTTACATTTTTATTTACACATGACATGCATTTTGAAAAGAGACTAGATAATATAAACGAAGTTTTCTCTATTATTGGCGTTAAAATTATTTTGATAAAGTCACTCGTTACCTACCACATTCAACTCCTAAAAGAACGTGCCCATGAATGCGTTGCAAATAAAAGAAATATGAGGAAATATTTCTTTTTTCTCGCAACCCATATTTTTTTCATAACTTATTCACACACTATCACTTCTTTTATCATCATTTATTTCAAGGAAGCCCCAATTTATATCCTTGATAAACAAAATTCGTTTATCAAATGGAAAAATAGTAAATAAATCAACAATTTTACTTATTCATCATGGCATGAATAAATCAATTGTTATGGGGTCCATAATCTAGTCATGATGACATATTTGTAAATAATTTAACTAATGTGGGGTCCATTTTTATTAAAATATGTGATTTATTTACAATTTTGTCATTTAATAAACATATTTTGTTTATCAAGGATATAAACTTGTTGTTTCACCTTGTCAAGTGCAACTGTTTTTTTTTTTAATATTATATAACACTTCCTTTCTTGGCAAACTTTCCCATTTTAATATAATATATCTTTCTTCCCACGTTCCCCACTTAAACCCACTATTAGGTTTTTTTTATTTTTATTTTTAATTTCCTCATATGTTTTGCTATTTAATAAAATATTTACCCCACTATTTTTATTATGTAGTATTGAGTATAATTTTTAATACCCCAATTAGCTCACTTACAACTTTTTATATTAAATCCAATTAATTTACCTTAAATAGGTGGTATAAAAATAAAATAAAAAAAATCTTATTAATGGATTTTTTCCAAAAAAAAAAAAAAAAAAAAAAATTAATTGTTGCTTAAGGCCGTAATTAAGTAAAAATTCCAAGCGGGCTAGGAGGTTCAACTTTGGGCCAGATTTTTGTGCCCAAAGCCCACTTAACAAACCTAACCACTTAGAATTCTCCTTTGACCAATTACATAGAATAATACTTAACAAACCAAATCAATTACACAGAATATAAATATTCAACAAACCTAACCAATTAGATCCTTTGACTAATTAAATAATTAAAGAAATCTATTACAATATCAAGTGATGGGTATAGACATGGCTCAAAAAGAGAACTCGAAATACAAGAAAATTTATGCTAAAATACGTACCCAAGCTTGTGACAACTACATATGTACAACTATTTCATTGGATATCATATTTACTGGATATATCATATCAATTGGATAACATATCATTTCACAATCTTTGTAATTTCAATTCCAATTTTAGAATCATTTTGTAATAATTAAAGTTATCTCTAATTATACTTGCAAGCCAAGAATTGAGATAACTGTGTCTATTTAAATTAAAAGACCTTAATACCACAATCAATATTGAAAAAAGATATAAAATTTATTAAAGGACGATGGCCACTAACATTTTGACACTAATTTTGTATAATTAACATGTCAATAGTTATTTCCTCTATAAGGGGGTGTTTGGTTCGCAGAGAGGTATGAGTTTGGAATTAGGAATGAGGTTAAGGTGGTATTAAGTTAGACATTGATACTTAATAATATGTGTTGGGTTTAATTCTAGAATGAAATCTCTCACAATTTTTTTTTTTTTTTGATACATAAGGAAATGGAATGGGTCAAACCCACCTTCTCTCTAAGGTTTTTCAACCTCATACATCATAAGTTTGAGGTATGAGTTTAAAATTAATACTTCTAACTACCTAACATACAATATGGGTTTTAGTCATTCTAAACTCATATCTCATGCCTCATGAGTTTAAGGTATGAGTTTAAAATTTACACTTCTAACCACCAAACATACGATATGAGTTTTAGGCCCTGTTTGATTCACCTTAATTTTGCTGAACTGAATTTATTTTTACTGAATTGAACTTATTTTTACTGAACTGAAATTATTTTTACTGAACTTAAACTAATTTTACTGAACTGAAATTATTTTTACTGATTTTCTATTATAATTCTTCTTTAAGAAAACTGAATTATACTGAACTGAAATTAATTTTACTAAACTGAACTTATTTTTACTGAACTGAACTTATTTTTACTTAATATTATTTTTTTAAGGTGAATCAAACGGGACCTTAGTCAATCTAAAATTCATATACCTCCTATATCTCATACCTATATTCCACAAACAAAAACACCTCTTAATTAATATCTACTCTAACAACCAAGTATCAAACTCAAAGGCTAAGATTAAGAATCAATCACGACACAATTAAAAGTCAAACTGCAATATGAAGAAAGTGGAAAGGATTAAATACCTGTAAACCCATAGTGATGATAACATAAGGATCGCTACTGGAAAAATCCATGACTACCAGATTGATACCTTTTATCACTCTAATCTTCAATAGACCAATCATATTCGCCATTTTATTAATTCTTCTTTTCTCCAATCTTAATTTCTTAACCTTTCATGTTCAACTGTCACTATGTTTTTGTGGTTCTGAGAGAAAATGTGTGCCTGCGGAAATGAGGATTATTCAATTTTGAAAACTTAGAATTTATGGTGGCCACATTTTTTTTTTTTTTTTGAAAAATGCTATACATAGCCATTAGAGCTACATATAAACATTAAATTTACATTTGAAAACCCTAAAAAAAATCATCAATTTATAAACACTAATTACACTAATTTACGCGTGTTTTTGTAAATTCCTAATTTTATATAGTTTTTAAGAATCTCATTAATACTTTTATATATATATATATATATATATATATATATATATATATATATATATATATATATATATATATAGCATTACCTTTTTTTTTTGGTTAATTTCTGGATATTTTTTTTTTGAAGGCCTCAAGGCACTCAACTGATATTTAAGTATCTATCATTTTATTCATCTACAGACTAAAATGTTTACTAGTTATTTTGTTTTTTTAATCCCTTAAAGATTTGTAACATTTTGATATGATATGACGACAACAACAATTAACAACCACAAACCCTTAATCCAAGTACAATTTGTCCGTTCAGAAACAAAAAAAAAAAGTATGATTTGTAGTCGACTAATATCTAAAATAATCTGTATAAAACAACAACAACAACAAAGCTTAGAGCATCTCCAATGGCAGGCTACAATGGTTTGTAGCTTGCTTTTCCACATTAATTTCTAAGCTACAACACTTTTTAAGCAACAAATTGTTCCAATGGTAAGTCACAACATATTGTAGTTTGCAAAAAATAAAATTTTAAAAAATAATAGATAATTATACACATGTTACAATATGAGTGGAGATTATTTGTCTCTTTTTCAATCAAGCATGTAGCTTAGTTGGGCTACAGTTGCTTGTATGTTGCTCAATTTTTTGGTTTTCCAATAGTAAGCATATAGCTAGGAACTTTATTTAAATTGCAAGCAAGTCTTTATAATTGAACCATTGGATATGCTATTAGTCCCAAAATGATTTGGGATCGGTTAACATAAATCGTCTAAAGGAACCGTAGCACAATATAAAGAAAGGGACTGTATGGTATGGAGTTAAAAAAACATAAAAGTTTGAGAAAAGTTTAGTGAAGGAAATCAGTATAATTCATAACCATTAGTGGGATAAAAATATAAAATTAAATACGAAAATAAATTAAAAAATTATATATATAATCACTTCTTGGGTCATTAACATGAATTTTCTCCCTCCACACCGCCCTATCCAACACCATATACTCCTCAATCTACAAAGCACTCATGTCACTCTCAATCACCCTCTTCCAAGTTTTCTTAGCTTAGGTATTTCCCTACCTTTCCCGATCCCAATACTTAACAATTCTTCAAGCCACTACTGACTTAGTCTTCTTCTTACATGGTTAAACCATGTTAAGCGATTCTCCCTCATCTAATACGCAATCGATGTAACCTCTGTCTTTTCCGAATTATCACATTCCTCAACCAATCTTTTCTTGCATGGCCACACATCCATCACAACATAGGCATCTTCGCCACACTCATTTTATGCACGTGGCAATGCTGTACACCCCAACATTCTATAAAATATACAAAGCAAGCCTTGACTTATTATCGTTCAGTAGAATCTCCCCTTTAATCTACAGGGACACACCTGCACCGAGATCACATAATAATAAATCCATCGCACTCTTCCACTTCAACCAACCTACTTTGACCCTGTAAACTACACCATCCAATTCTCCATCCTTTTGGTTAAAAGATCCCAGATATCAAAGTTACCTCAGAACCTTGGACAATCTTCCCATCCAAGGTGATCATCACCCCTGCCTTACTACTTCTTAAACCGCTAAACTGACATTTCAAATACTTCGTCTTACTTCTACTCACCTTCAAGCCACATGACTCCAAAATTTGTCTCCACAATTCCAACTTACTTTCCACACCTTTTTGTGTCATCAATCAACACATACACATTGTCAGCAAACATCATACACCATGGGATATCATCTTGAATCGAACTCGTCAATTCGTCCATGACTATATAAAATCAAAAGGACTAAATGTAGAATCTTGATGAACTCTAATTATATGTGGGAACACTTCAAGTTTTCCAACAATGGTCTGCACACTTGTGCTAACCTAGCTTCCTCATACATGTCCTTAATTATATTAATATATTTCTGCAAAACGTGTTTCCTCGTTAAAGCCCACCAAAGAATCTCCTTCAGAACCTTATCATAAGCCTTCTTCAAATCAATAAAAATCATATGGTAAATCCTTCTTCTAACCCTCATAGGAATCCAATAGTTGTCTCATAAGATGAATTGTCTTTACAATTGATATTCTAAGCGTAAATCCATGCATGGTAAAAAAAGTATATTATATTTTTTTTAAATATAAAAAAAAAAATCATTTAGCAGCACTTAAAATAGAACAAGGATAGATCAATTGAAGACAGATGGAGTATTTTGAATAAATTAATTTACTACCTACGTTACATATTATTTACAACGGTTAGACATTTTTCCTCTCTACTTTATGTCAAATTGTTACAAATAATATGTAACGCAGGTAGTAATTTAAACAACAAAATTCATGTAGTAAACAGTCAAAACTTTTCTAGTAGAATCCTGACTTATTGAAAGCAAAAAGATGAGTATATTTTTTTATTTTAGAAAGTTCCCAAAATTTCCAAATAACTTGGCTCCCACAAATATAAAATTGAAAAGAAATAGGCAAGATGAGAAATTAACGATAGAAATTATATACCGGCTGCTAATAAACGCATATGCTTCGCTTAGAAATTACGAGAAACGGCGTGCTACGTGTGTTATTAGATCTCCTCTCTTCTTTAGTCGGCGTATTCTTTCCTAATTTCTTCCTTCTTATTTTTTTTATTTAAATAACACAATTTCAGACCATCATAAATAAATTGTTAATTTTACCCTCAAATTTCCCCCCTTTTCCAAACCCTAGCCCTCAATTGTTCTTCCTATATAAATTCCGCCTTCTCCAATTTTCTCATCTACTCCCACTTTCTCTCTCCTCTATCCCAACAATCCTTTGTTTCCGCCATTGTTGGGTGTTTTTGCTTCAATTTGAGCAATAAAAACCCAGAAGAATAGCTAGATTTCTGCAAAAAAACCAACAGTTGTAAGATTAAATTGGTTGTGAATGGTGGAAATCTTAAGTAAAAATTACATGCGATCTTCCCCCTTCCTCTTTACAAGGGGGATCTTCGTTCATTCATTGTCATCTTCTTCCGCTTTCGCTTTCGGTTCTTGCATGGAAGGCTGGTACTACCGCTGCCTCGGCCTTGACCCTTAAATATTCTACTTTCTTTCAATTTTCCAGAATAATTTTCTGGGTTTATAATTTTTACCATTCTATCATTCGATCTGGAAATTTTGAATTATTGTTTTTGATTTTCGGGAGTGTTTTTTTGGGTTACAAATCAATTCTTCGATCTGAGAATTTTGAATTATTATTTGGAAAAAAAAAATCGGAAAAAATGTTGCTAAGCAAGCAAAAAAAGGCAAAGGGAAATCGGGTGTTGATTACGGTGAATGTTCTGGGAAGTGCTGGACCTTTAAGATTTTTCGTGAATGAAGGGGAGCTTGTTGCTGCTGTTATTGATACGGCGTTGAAATCATACGCTCGTGAAGGTCGTCTTCCTGTTCTTGGTTCTAATCTTAATGATTTCCTCCTTCATTGCCCTTCTGCTGGATCTGATGGTATTAATTTCCTTCCTTTTCTTCAATTTAATTTGATTAATTCTAATATTATTAATGTTTTTTTTTTGTTGATTAATATAATTTTGTGATTTAGAATTTTGTATTTTTGTGATTAGGTTAGGTGAAATTTGGTGTTTGTAAGTTAAGTTAGGTGAAATTTAGTTTTTGTTGACTTTTTAGGTGAACTTGGAAAATTTGGGTTTTTGTTTATCAAGTATAAGCAATTGGAATAAGAAATGGGGTGTTTGCTTATCATAATTACATTGGAAAATTATGGAATGGTTTCCACTATGCATCATGTTGATTGATTCCTGAATTCTTAAATTTGGCTTTAGTTTTCTGTGTAATTATGCGTTTTTCTAGGTTTGGCGAATTCACAAATTTTAGATGGGTGAGATTAACAATGGCTTAGTGTTTCAATTATTTGAAGAATCAAGTGTTTGTATAATTTGTGTTATTTTTCTGTGGTTTTACCTTGTGGATTGGCCTATTTTCGAAGTTGTATAGGGGAGAATGACTTAACTGCTATTTTTAGAGACTGGTAATTGTAAAACGAAAGTATGAGCTTAGCATTATGGAGAGCCTATTATGTACACCCGGGGTCATTTGCTCAAAAAATATTATTTGCTCTTTTGTTGATTAAAACTTCCGGGTGTATCATTATGTGATCTTTGAAGCATCTCTTTTAATCGCAATAATTCTGGTGTCTTCTGAACATTGAAGTTTTAGTAAGAACTAAGAAGAAGCCAATTTTGTAATGTTGACTAGCTCATCATTGCCTTACTGTCGGCATTTTCTTACCATAATATCTACAACTTCTATACCTTTGCGCGCGTTCAGCAGTATCTAAATTAGCTACTATATAGCTCAACTTTTTAAATCACCTGCATTATGGAAGGTTTGGAACACTGATTAGTCTACATTGCATGTCAAATACTAGGCCATGTGGATCTTGTTCTATGTTTTTAGATTCTTTTCTAATTCATATACATGACTTGAGGTTTGTGAACATTCTATCTTCCATAAATCCGTACTTGTCTAAATTTTGCTTTCTTTTGTCCGCATGATCTGATTGTTTAACTTTTTCTTGCTCTGTAACGAAATTTATCTTCAATTTGATTGTCCTGCACTCCTGCAACTAAACTTGTTGATTCACCGATGCATTAATGATTTACTTGTATCAATTTTCTGATTGTTCTTTATGTTTCTGGTTTTTGCAGCTTTAAGTCCACTTGAGACAATTGGAGCTCATGGTGCCCGGAATTTTCTTCTGTGCAAGAAGCCACAGCCCGAGAAAGCTGCAAATGTTGAGGTCGGTGATGAGTCTGCTGTTAATATAACAAGAAGGGGAAACGGAAGCTGGAAGTCATGGATCAATAAGACCATTATTCTTAAAATTGCATCG